ATCAATAACACATTAAAAGGGTCATACATTGTGATCAAGTGGGATTTATCCCTGGGATGCAATGATGGCCCAACATATGCAAATCAATAAATGTGATATATCCCATTAATACAATGAAAGACAAAATTATATGGTCCTCTAAATAAATGTAGAAAAATAATTTGACAAAATACTACATCTTTTCATGATGAAAACGCTCAACAAATTGGGGTTTATATAGAAGGAACATACCTAAACATAATAAAGGCTATACATAACAAACTCATAGCTAACAACAGACTCAACACTGAAAGATGGAAACTTTTTGTTCTAAGATTAGGAACAAGAAACAGATGCCCACTTTCACCACTCTTATTCATTGTAGTACTGAAAGTTCTACCTCTCAGCAATCCTAAAAAAAAAAAGAGACCATCCAAATCAGAAAGAAAGAAGTAAAATTGTCATTATTTGCACATGATATGATCTTATATGTAGGAAACTCTAAAGGCTACACACACACACACACACACACACACACACACACAGTTAGAAAGAATAACTGAATTCAACAAAATTTCAGAATACAAAATCAAACATAAAAATCCACTGCATTTTTATAAATTAACAATGAACCATTTACAAAGGAAATTTAGAGAACAATACTATTTACAATAGCATAAAAAAGAAAAAATACCTAGGAATAAATGTAACTGATGAAGTGAAAGACTGTGTACATTAATGAAAGAAATTAAAAATACAAATAAATAGAAAGACATTCAGTGTTCATAGATTGGAAGATAATATAGTCACTATGTCTATACTACCCAAAGTGATCCAGGAATTTATTGCAGTCCCTATTGAATTCCCCAATGACAATCTTTAGAGAAGTAGGGAAAACAATCCAAAAATCCATATGGAATCACAAAGCACCCTGCATAGCCAAAATAACCTTAATAAAGAAGAACTTAAACTGTAAAATTCCTAACAAAAAAAAAATAGAAAAAAATTTTATGACATTGATCTTAGCAATGACTTCTTGGATATAACACCCAAAGCACAGGAAACAACATAAAAAATAGACAACTGGAACTACATCAAACTAAAAAGCTTCTATACTGCAAAAGAGACACTGAACAGAGAGAAAAAGCCTATTGAAAGGGAGAGGTATATTTACAAACTATACATTTGATAAATAATTAATATCCAAAATATAGAAGTTATTACTACAACTCAGTAGAAATAAACAAACAAATAAATAACCAAACAAGTTTTAAAATGGGCAAATGATTTGAATAGACTTTTTCCAAAGAAACAAACAGATAATTAAAAAATGTTCAACACCACTAATCATCAGGGAAATGCAAATGCAATAAGATATTATGTCACACCTGTTGAGATGACCACTATAAAAAAAAATCAAAACAATAAATAACAAGTGTTGGCAAACTATAAAGTTGCAGTTATACAACAGGTATAAAGTTTCAGTTAAACAAAATAAAATAATATCTGGAAATATGCTGTACAATATTGTGCTTATAATTAACAGCACTCTACTGCACACTTAAAATTTTGTTAAGAGGGTAGATCTCATGTTAAGTGTCCGTACCACAATTTAATTTTTTTTTAATAGGCCAACCTATAGAGCTAATTTGGCTAATAGCAAAAGACCACTGGGCCAGTGTATTGTGGCCCTCTGGTCCCAGCACAAGGCTCCTATCATAGTAAGCGCTCAAAAAATAGATGCTGGATTGCCATTTGACCCAGTGATCCCACCTCTAGGAATATACCTTAAAAAACCTAAAACACCAATCAGAAAAAATATATGTACCCCTATGCTCATAGCAGCTCTATATACAATAGCTAAGATCTGGAAACAACCCAAGTATCCATCAGTAGATGAGTGGATAAAAGAGCTGTGGTACATGTACACAATGGAATACTATGCAGCTTTAAGAAAGATCTCTTATCCTTTCAGATGGCACAGAAGGACCTGGAGAGTATTATGCTAAGCAAAAAAAGCCAAGCAGAGAAAGACAACTATCACATCATCTCACTTATTTGTGGAATATAATGAACTAAACAAACTTATGAACAAAATTAACCCAGAGACATAGAGGTGGGGTACAGACTGACAAGCCTCAGAGTAGAGAGGGTTAGGGGGGAAAGAGATAAACCACAGAACTTACATGGCTATATGCATGACCAATGAACATAGACAACAAAGCTGGGGATGGGGGGGAGGGGAGGAGAGTGTCAATGGGGGAAAAATGACAAACATCTGTAACAAAAACAAATTAATAAAAAAAATTGTTAAAAAAAATAGATGCTGGGGAAAAAAAATAAAAGCACAATTTGGTCCATACTTTTATGAATGCATTTTCACATTTTTTTTTAATCCCCAAAGGAAACAGTGATACTTTACTTATAAACATGTCTTCCCAAAACGTTGTCCTCTGAGAAAGTTTGACATAGACTGCTTTAAAAATTAAATATATCCATTACTTATAAAAAGAGAGAATTAAAATATAGCTCATTAATTTAAAAAAGAAAGCAATTTCCAAAAGATTATTTGACACAACCCTTCTGTAAGTAGTATATTTCTCACTAGAGGGAGCTCAGAACCCATTGATAAATGGCAAGAGAAGCTGAATAAAATGCTATTTTACTTCAGGGGAAAAGCGATCTATTTGAGTAAATATGACATCTATTTCCAGAAGTTGGGAATTTTTCATATGCCAATTTTCTTCAATTATTAATATCTAAAAATTTAAACTACATAAAAGGAGATTAATACAAAGTTTTCTAATAGTCAATTGATATAATAAGTTAGCCTTCTAAGTAAGTACAGTGTGAGTCTAGTAAGAGATGTGGTATTATCCTTGTTCTCTTGTGAGAAAAAAATTCCTACTGTTCATGAGAAAGAGAAAATAATATAAGGTATTGATGATTATGGGTACCCAGAAAGGCTGTTTGGGAAAATACAATTCTCACTGTCTGGGTGCTCTTTTCCTGTTTCCACTCATAACCCTGGGAGGCATTTTACCCTTTAAAGCTGCTCCTTCTTGGATACATTTGGGGAAGAGGGGTATCTCATAGCCAGTCCCAAGCCAGAGTGCTCAGCAGCCTGCTTCTTCCCTGTTATCCACTACACATTCCCTGGCACTCTAAACTCAGAAACTGAAGAGGCATCAAAAAGGTGCTGCCACCACCCTACTTCAGCTGCCAAATGCTCCATTCCCAACAGCACTGTTAACTCAAGACTGTGTGAAAAAAAGTTTAACTAAAGGCTTGGGGGTGGGGAGGACAGCGCCATATCTTAAAAGTCCCTTGTCCCTTTACCCTCTGCAACTGGGAACTTCTCACTGCCCATCTGTACTCCTCGGGTTTAAGAACCACTACCATCTCCAGGCTGTAACACCTTAATCTAAACTTTGAAAAGTTTCACATGTCTCTTTATCTTAGACTAGGGTTCCAATATGTCATATCCAAGTATGTCCCAAAAATTACATGGGATATACTTATCCCACCCCCAACCCCCAAAAAGTATTCCTTATTTATCTGAAATTCAAGTTTTACTAGACATACTTTTTTTTTTCTTCTAAATATAATAACTCTACTCCAGAGCATTTACTCTGCTTTCCCTGGGGTCAGAAGAGGAAACCCAGGGACTCCCCGCCAACCCCCTCCTTAAACAAGTTTTGTACATTTCATCCTCTCCCATCAAGGCCATACCCAAAGAAAACTACTTATCTAATTTCTCTCCCTTAGAACAAATATTTGGTTTAGGTTTTATATAGCAGAGTTTTTCTTTCTGTCTGTCTTAGTAGTACATCACCTGCCAACATATTTGCATCCAACAAGGTAAACAGATTAATTTGTTTTCGGGTTTCAGAATAGCCTCATCCACACATTCAGCTCATTGAATTTATGTTCATTCAGTGGAGAGTGAGTACTGGCACATCAAGATGAGTCAGAGAAGGGCCCTGTCTGTGGAAGCCCTGTAGTTTAAGAGAGGAAGTAAGCAACTTCCCACATTAGCTGGCTCTGAACCTAGCTGAAAACACTGAAGTCACATTTTGTTTGGACATGGATTTCAAGTTGGTGACATTTGAAGGGAAAGGACAGCCTTCTGGAACATCAACGTTACACTTACATTTTTCTGAAACAAACTGCTCCACTTCTGAGCAAAGCATCTGGTTTATCCTTTAAAATAATCCTTTCCATGGACCTCTTGGAAAGTATTCTTAAACTTTAAATCAGGAAAAGAAACATGTCGAGTATGGAGCCAATTCCAGCAAGAGGAATTAAATTAACTGAATGTTTATTTGCCACAAGTGCATATGGTCAGAGGCACCAAAGTAAGAATGGGTTTTACCAAGGAGACCAAGGACTCTGGGTTCATGGTGAAGACTCCCTCCTTCTCCTCCCTTCCCCGCAGATACAGTCCAAGTTTGCTTCAGCAGTCCTTCTTATCTCTGCGCATCCTTGTAAATAGCACCCCCCCCCCCTTTTCTTTTTCAGATACATTTTTTTTTCTGGTAGACCAAATCATTTAACCAGGCTCTACCGATGCCTGGAAGCCCTCATTTGACTTTTACTTATTTGTGCACCTATCGTTTACGTGTAGATTTTACTGTTTAGCTTTCAGAAACAATACACACACGCTACACACACTCCTTTTTGTCTGTTTGTTTTAATTCCTGGTTAGAGAGAGAACTTGACTCTCCAGAAAGTGGGGAACAGCAGATTCCGTTCCAGTCCAGGATGCAGGCACAGTTTTTCCCAGGTAGGATTTGCACCAGGACCGCCCGCGAGGGCTGCTCTCCACGGTACTGAGTACGGGGAGACTGCGGGAACCTCTTGGCACCACAAGGAACACTGTATCCCCGGACCCCAGCTCAAGTACTCCCAGAAGCTAAGGCACGCATGCGCAAGGCGTAGCAGGCGTGGACTGCGCGGAACGGGCGCGCGCACGCGCGGCGAGGCGGGAGGCGGCGCGTGCGCCGGTTGGACGCCTGTGACCTGCGTTTGCTGCGCCGAAAGAGAAGGCTTGCGAGGCGCCCAGGTCCCGGCCATGGCTCACAGACCGCCAAGGACTTTCCGGCAGCGTCGAGCCGACTCCAGTGACAGCGACAGCGCCGAGGAGCCATCTGCTGAACCCGGGGCGCCGGAGGAGCGGGCAGTCCCGGGTCCTGAGGAGCAAGGGCCGCCCCCTGGAGGGGGCCGCGCAGAAGCAGCGGAACGGCCCCTTCGAGGCCGGGGCCCTAGGGGCCGGGGCCGGGGCCGGGGCCCGGTCTGGGCGACTTCCCGGCGCGCTGCCGGAGCGGCTACCTGCGCGGGCAGCGGCTCGGGCGTCCCAGGTGACTTGGGACCGGGGGACGGTTGCCCCAGGTGACAGGGTAGGGGCGGAGCGGGAAGGGGCCCGCCGGATTCTCTCCGGGCTTTTGTAACCCCCGCTGCCCAGGAGCGACGCTCGACCGCGGAGAAGGTGAGCGAGACAGCCGCCTGCGGGCACTCGCCCGCTGCCCGCATCGCCCCTGGGCCCCGTGCGGAGTAGGAGGAACCTGTACGGGCTGGAGGCTCAGCTGTACTAACCGCTGAACCATCACCAAGCGCAGCTGTAGTGCAGTGCTTGATGTTTATGTCAGATCGTTGCAGAAGAGCGAAACATTTGCTAATACCCATAGGTAGGAAAGTTATGCCTTTTGGAAACGTTCCCCGATTATTTTTTTAGAAGACACTTACCCAGAATATTACATTAGGAGAGTGCAGATGACAGACTTTGAGACGTTTTCTTTTTCATCAGTTATTTGTGAAAACAGGTAAAAGTAACAATATATGTCACTAGATAACAGTACATTGATGACGCTGTAGACTGTATCGGTAAAGGCGTTAAATACCATGCAGCGATTTTGAAGTACCTTTGTGTTCTTAAATACATGTATTCTAGCTTGAATGCAGTTTTTGCTTAGTTTTGAGGTAAAAAAAAAAAAAGTGTTCTCCCCACTGTTTTTAGTTCAGGTGTTTGGGTGATTTCTTACTGTCTAAATTTCTGATAACTTTAAAATTGTTTCTACTCTAGATAAGTCATCTTGTCACCAGAAAGGTACTAGGACTGAAGTCAGTCTGCCTGGCACAGTCTGTAACATAGGTTCTTGCCTTTGGGTAGGAAAGATTTTATAACAAGAGTACAGGTGATTTTGAGAGTATTTTTATTAAAGCTAGGAGAGTGAAACAAAGGAAAGAAGAGGCAAGAGCACAGCAACAGGAGTGAGCCTAGACTGTGCTGCCTAGACTCAGGAACAGTGACAGAGGCAAAAGAAGTGAGCCACACTGGGCTGTGTGGACACAGGAATGGAAGTCGATAGTAACAGAAGTGAGCCACACTGGGCTTCTTGGATTTAGGGAACATGTTACAGAGGCAAAAGAAGAGTCCTTAGAGCCCAGCCAGTGTGGCTCAGTGGTTGAGCATTGACCCATGCACCAAGAGGTTGCCGGTTCCATTCCTAGTCAGGGCAAATACCCAGGTTATGGGCCAAATCCCCAGTGGGGGTCATGTAGGAGGCAACCAGTGGATGTTCTCTCTCATCAGTGTTTCTATCTCTTTCTCCCTCTCCCTTCCTCTCTCTCTCTCAAATCAGTAAAGGAAAGAAAAAAAAAAAAGAGTCCTTAGAGACAGGGTCAGGGGGTTAGCCCAGGATGAGATACCTGCTGCTGCCCTCATTGCAAGTCTGGGAACCCTTGGAGCTTAGGAGAAAGACAACAAAAGTACAGGCCTGAGGAAAGCAGGGGTGGGAAGGTATTGGACTGCTCAAGAGAGAGAGCATGCACTGGATCCTCTGTCTTAAGGGTTTTTGATCTGTTTTCTGAAGGTGGAGTTTTTGGGGAGGTCTCAGGAGAGGATCTCTTTTTTTTTTTTTCTTTTGGTATGTTCCCCTAGTGGGAACTGAACCCAGGACACACTGGTCAGCAGGCCAACACTCCAACCGCCGAGCCAAACCGGCCAGGGCAGGAGAGGATCTCAGTAGAATATTCAACAGTTTTCAACAGGTGTGTCCTTTGATATTCTGGTGCATCAAAAATGAACTTACAGGGGTTTGGCTGGCAATAATGGCACCAGCTGGGTCTCTGTTATCTCTCTTCCTGACCAGGGTGATTTTAAGCCATTAATTCTTTGGTTGTAGAGAAGAGGTGTAAACCATTTGCTCCTAAGTGTCCCTGGTTAGGGAAGATAAGATCTTGCAATTTATTAGCAGGCTGGAATTGCTTGGCCTTTTAAAACTATTTGTCTCAATTTCCTCATTCCACTTTCCAAGGAATTTTCCTAGCTTCTGACTATCCTGATTATATTTTCATAGGGAGATTGAGGCCAGGAGTTGCCTTTTCTCCTGCCTTCAGGAAAAAAAGTGGTTCTGAAACATTTTGGTCTTACTACTCGCTCCCTTTATACTCTTAAAAATAATTAAGCATCCCAATGACCGTTCGTTTCTGTGGATTATATTAATTAATACTTACCATATTAAAAACTTAAGATAGCCCAGCCAGTGTGGCTCAGCGGATTGAGCATCATGCCATGAACTGAAGGTCCTAGTTCGATTCCCAGTCAGGGCACATGCCCGGGTTTTGGGCTCTATCCCCAGGGGGTGGGGCATGCAGGAGACAGCCGATCAGTGTTTCTACTTCTTTTTCCCTTCCTCTCTCTCTTAAAAATAAAAAAGGCAATAAAAACATATTTTTTAAAAATTTAAGATAAATTTTTATTAATTCATTTTTTAAATGAACCCATTACACATAAGGATAAGTAACATTTTTGTGGAAAATAACTATTTTCCAAAAAATACTAAGAATGATATTGTTTTTAATTTGCTGATCTTTTTAATGTTTGCCTTAATGGAGAACAGCTCAATTCTCAAAGCTGCTTTTGCATTGTCTGTTGTGATACATTGTTTCATTTGCACTATGTGAAGAAAACCACAAATAGGTGATTAAGATGAGAATTTAATAACCTTTATGGGTTTGTTTTTGTTTTTTCAATCTGCACCCAAGGATATTTTTCCATTTATTTTCAGACAGAGTGGGAAGGAGAGAGAGAGAGAAACATTGATGTGAGAGATCTCTCACATCAATGGGTTGTCTCCTGCATGACCCCAACCAGGGCCAGGGACCAAACTGCAACCAAGATACGTGCCCTTGACCGGAATCGAACCCGCAACTCTTTGGTCCACAGGGCAATGCTCTAACCGCTGAGCCAAACCATCCAGGGCTTTAATAACCTTTTTAGATCATTGAAGGTGTTTTGCTTTAACATTATAACAAGGCTCATTCCAGCTGATGTGGCTCAAGTGGATTGAGCCTCATCCCATGGACTGAGAGGTCCTAATTCAATTCCTGGTCAGGGCACATGCCCAGGTTTCTAGCTCAATCCCCAGCAGGGGGCATTCAGGAGGCAGCTGATCCATGTTCTCTCTCTCACATCAGTGTTTCTCTCTTCTTCTGTCTCTAAAAAATCAGTACAAACATTTTTTAAATGGTGTTCAGTTAAAGGTAACAGTGGTTATTTTTTAAAAAGGCTCAAATAATAGTTTCTTTTTTTCGTGGTACGTGCCCCCAGCGGGAACCTTACCTGGGACTCTCTGGTCCGCAGGCCTACGCTCAACCGCTGAGTCAAATTGGCCAGGGCAAATAAAAGTTTCTTAAAGGTTAGCTTGCAACATAGAAGCTAAAACTATTAGTCAAACATTTTTATACTTCATTTCATTAAAATCCACGGTCTGCTCTGCATTTGGAATGAATCTTTCACCCATGCATGATTACTAACATCATGTTTGACTGTTTGGAAAGAATTGGTTCACAGGGTTTGCAGATCTTGCAAATGTTGGTATATATTATTCAATATAAAAAAAAAACTCTTAATGTTACTATTTATATCACCAGTTTTCCAGAATTCTAGTTATCACTTGAAATTTCTAATTCTTGAAGTGATAGACATAACTTTGCTCACTTGTGGGAAAATGTTTGATATAGATATTCAGATATTCATGTCTGAATAACTAGAGTCTGTCAGTTGTTTAAAGTAAAATGGTGTTCCTCCTGGAAGACTGACTAGTTCAACTTGCAGCTCATCACACAGGTGCTTTTCCTTGAGGCATCCCATTGCGTTTTAGTGCATCCCAGAACTGCTTTGTGCATGTTTCCATTTTGTTCCACAAATTGTTAAAAAGATGTGTATGTAAGAGTCAAGATTTAATAAAATTAATATTTTTTTGTCGCTTTATTAAGAACCATAAGTGAAACTGGTTTTTTACCCCCTGACAATGCCTGGTAATAAAGCATACAATGGTTGCTACTTTAAATTGGTGTCACTGAGGCTGGCAGTTTTACCCACTTCTGTTTTTGCTTCACTGTGTAAATATCAGCAGAGTAAAAAGGTCAAGTAAAATGTTAATATTGTGGTGAAAGTAGCTTTAACTTCACAGACACTCTGAGAGGATCCCAAGGACCTCCAAGGGTTGATGGTCTGTACTCTGAAAACCGCTGCTCTGGTATTACTCCACTTTGAGAATGCATAGGGATTGTCATAAATGGCAGTAACTAGAAAGATGTAAGCTGCAGCTGTATTCCTTTGTCTTTTAAGTTTTTATCTTCAGACTTTTTTGAACTATTGTAGGTCTCCTAATTAAGGAAAGTTTTTAAGATGAGTACTATTGATGTAATCTTAAACTGTAAGGTAATTCATAAAAATTACAAAATAATTGTGAATTAACAAGTCTTTTCTTGTCAGTCATACCATGAATTTCTTTACATTTTGCTCATTTAATTCTCATAACACCTCTATGGGTATTATTTCTTTAATTTTATCTTTTTTTAATAGATTAATTGACCGACTAAATGTCCTTTCCCAAATCACACAGTGGAAATAGATCCATGATTGGTTTGAGACTATAGTGCTCAGTATAGTACTTCTTGTCACTAACCATTGAAGTATGACATAATATTTAAAAAGTCTAAATTCCAGAACTGGATGAACTTTAGTTGAAAGCCCTGCTTTTCCACTCATTAACTTTGTGACATTAGACATGTTATTTAGCCTCTCCAATCCTGATGAGGACACTAGTTCTCCGTTATAGCATTTACTTTGTATAATTGTGAATATTTAATGAAATAAACCTGATAAAACACATTCCAACATGCCTAATACATTCTAAGTGTACATTAAATTTTTTTTTTACTTATTCACTACAACTATTTTTTCTTTTTGTTTTTTTCTCTAATGTTCCCTTTCCTCTTCTCATTGCATCCCTTAAAGGAGTTTATTATTAGATAAGTAGATAGTACAAGGAGGGTAAGTCTTTGTACATTTTTTAGACTACCCATTGGTTTCTGAGTGAATAGAAATTGGAGAAAGATCTTTATATCTACTTTAACTATGTAGAATAAAATTAGAATATCATATTGCATGTGTTGCTCTGAATTTTAATTATTGATTCTAATATCTTGACTCTTTCTTGTTATATTCAAAACTATTCTGTTAGAATCCAGAACAGATGATCTTTCAACAGATGAAGAGGACGGAACATACAATGCCTCAGAAAGTAAAGATGATCAGAGTTCATCTTCGAACAGCTCTAGCTCTCTGGAAGAAGAATTTTCATCAGTAGGTTGGTAATTTTTGTAATTTTGTTTTTTTGTTTAAGAAATTAATTTCTAATACCAGTATTTTCTATGCTAGTGATCTTATTATTAATAATAACACAAACTATATTGAAGTATGGGGCAAGTAAGTCATTACTAATGATGGTCAGAGTTTCTACATTGACTGTTTATTTTCATTACGCAACATGCCCAAGGTCAGACAGCTTATAAGATGCACAGCTAGGATTCGAACCCAGTCACTCTGCCCCAAAGCATATGTTTTTAACTACTGTGCTTTATTGGGTGATTGGTGCCAATATCTGAAGGACAGTAAGAATTATGTCAGTGAGGAATTTTCAGGTACAGGATGTAGCATATATGAAACTTTAGGGAAGATAGCATGTGAGAACTAAAAATAGTTGTTGGACTGAAAATATTTAGTTGGAGTTTCAGAAAGAGAAAAAGAAAGCAAGCAGAGGGACACAGTGGAGTCATGCGAAACAGGGCTTGGAGGAACTATTGAAAATTTATGCAGCTAGGTGACATGACCATTTTTGTGTTTTAGAAAGATCAGTCCAGTTCGGGGCTTGGCAAATTACCACCTGTGGGTCAAGTGTGGCCCACCGCCTGCTTTGTAAATAAAGTTTTATTAAAACATAGCCACACTCATTCAGTGATGTGTTTTCTGAGACTGCTTTTGCACTGCGGTGGCAGAGTTGAGATGCTGACAGAGACTTTATAGCACACAAAGCCAAACATGCCTTTTACTCTATCTCAAGGGTTCATAATTTATTTTCTGCTCTTTTTTAATCTCATGAAATCTAAGACCACTTCTGAGAAAATTAAGTAAAATACATAGCTTTATAAAGGAAACAAATGAATTTGAAATAGTTAAAATAATATTTAAAAGATAGTGTTTTATTAACTTATCAAATAATAAGAACCAGTAGCTCATGTAATTTTTTTCTTTTACAGATTTACAAGGTGCAGATACTTAGTGATAAAGCATAGTAGCAAGTGAAGCCTTGGCTAGACTGTAGCTACAGTGCTATCCAATAGAACTTTCTGTGATAATGTGAAAATTCACTATTCAGTACATTAAGCTGCTAACCACATGTAGCTATAGAGTTCTTGAAATATGGCTAGTATAACTTAAGGAACTGGATTTTTAAATTTGATTAAATTTAAATAGTCACATATGGCCAATACCACTGTATTGAACAGTGCTGCTATAGAAGGTGGTAGATGAGACAGTGTAAAACAGTAGTGGTAAAGTGTTGGCAGCACTGCACCTAAGGAAAGGAGGCAGTGTTTGCAAATATGTGAGATAGTTTTTAACTAGAGTGACTGAGGTGTTGCTGGCATGTAGTGCCCTGGAAGCAAGCAGTAATAAATGTCTTGCAGGGTGCAGGATAGTTTTGCACACTGAAGGATCGTCTCTCCTCAAATGTCCCTTTGAGAAACACTGATTGAAAGTTGAAAACTTGTCCTGTGAGGAACACTTGTGTTCTCCTTTTTTCTGGAGAAGAAAAGATGAAGAGGGAATATAAGTTTAGAGACTGGAAGAAGGGATACAATAATTTTTTGTTCAGATGATAGAACTATTAGAATGATCCAGTAATGGGCCCTGACCAGTTTGCCTCAGTGGTTACAGCATGAGCCGGTGGACTGAAGGGTCGCAGATTCAATTCCCAGTCAAGGGCATACCTGGATTGCAGGTTCCATCTCTGGTCAGTTGTGGGGGAGGCAACCAATCAGTGTGTCTCTCTCACATCTATATTTCCCTGTCTTTTCTCTCTCTCCCTCCTACCCTCTCCTACCTTCTCTTTCCCTCTCCCTTCCTCTCTCTAAAGTCAATGAAGAAAAAAAATTAAAGACATGTTATGTTGTCTTTAGCCACATCATAATAAGAGCTTTAAAATAACAAGACAAAATACAGAGCCCTCTGACTTTACATCATAATCAACAATTTTGGGGGAAAGTAGTTATTCAGCAGTGAAGAATCTGGTGCACTACATGATTTTCCCCACATATTTAAACATTACCCATAAGGAAAACACGCAACTGTTCAATGCTTTGGGAGGATGATTAGATACCTGACCTGTATCATTTTCCTGATACTAGTCTGTGAATAAGGACTAGTCTGTAAAAGCAAATGACTAGATTTGATATTCATTGTTTTTAATGAGCACGTACTAGTTTCTAGTGATTACCACCTACTGCTTCATAATTAATTCAAGCACTTTTTGTTTTCCTTAAGACTAGTTAGCAAGTATATTGGTCTGTGATTTCTGAAATCTTTTTTTCTGTTTCAAAAATTGGAACATTTCTGCATCTCCTGGCATATGACATTTTTTTTCCTACTCATTTTCAAAGAAATGTGGGCCCATTTGTGGGAAAAGTTAGAAAATTGTACTTGAGCCTCTGACTTGACACCCCTAACTGATATTTTGAAGTGCTTGAAATGGTGCAAGTTTCTCTTGCCATTTTGTTTACTTAGTATTTTGCTTAAGAAACCATTTCTTCCCACGGTGTAAAGATTAGCTCATGCATGAAGAAACTTGTTTTGAATTCAAAGAGTCCATATTAATAAGGTTTATACTGTATAAAATAAAGAAAAAAAATAAAACAAGGCTCTATTAAAAGATGTTATTTTTCACCTGTTAAATGAACCTGATTATTTCCTTTATAATTTTTAGTCTCTCCCATTTATTCATATGGGAATCACCACAGGACCTTGAAGGCTGACTTGGCTGTGTGATGGTTGTAGTCTATCTCTCACTCCCTGTGTACCTGGATGCCCAATGGAGAGAGGTGGATCCTAGTATAGCATCCCTGTTACTTTGTCAGACTGGTCTATCACCAACTAACCTCTACAGTTGTCGCTGACTGAGTGATTCCATGCTAGGCCCTCTCCACATCTCTACCCTGACAATCTCAGAGCATCTGGAAATGAGAAATGGCTTAGCCTTCAACAAAAAGTCAGCAACAATACCAGGTTGAATAAGAGAATTAAAAGATAAATTGGAGTAGTTTTAGTATGTTTTCTGATACTTCTCCATTTGATTCATTTAAAGATAAATTTTAATAATTTAATAAAAATTATTTAACCTGTATCAAAATAGTTTTCTTACATTATCATGTAGATTTTGAACCATTTACATTCATATCAAAATAGTGAAATAATTTTCACTATTAGAAAATTGGATTGTTTGTTTTTTAATGTGAGGAATATTTATTTCTTTTGATGCTTAGTTTTCAGTATCTTTCTCTTTGTTTCTTTTAGTAAATATCCCTGATGCAGCTTTTGTTCAGGCTGCCCGTAGAAAACGTGAATTGGCCAGGGCCCAAGAGGACTATATTTCTTTGGACATGAAACATAATTCCACCATCTCTGATATGAAGAAAAACAGTGATGAAGATTCTGAGAATGAGCCTGATGACCATGAAAAAAGAATACTATTTACCTCAAAACCTCAAACACTTAGACAAAGAATGGCTGAAGAAACAAGTACGTATTTAACTTATTTACAGTATATAAACATTAAAGCTTTTTTAATAGAGTATAATATGTTAAAATCTTCATAAAAACATAATGTAGTGTCTCATAGTCTAAAGCAGTGGTTCTCAACTTTTCTAATGCCACAACCGTTTAACAGTTTCTCATGTTGTATGTGGGCGTATCTGCATGTGGGTGTACCTGCCTGGAGACGGATAGAGGAGCCATGTCTCAGATCCTAAGACCATCAGAAAACACATATTTCCAATGTGTCTCAAGCGACCCCTGTGAAAAGGTCGTTCAACCCCCAAAGGGGTTGTGACCCACAGGTTGAGAACCACTGGTCTAAAGGGTAGTAAAGTTGGTTTTTATTTAATACCAACTTGGTCAATGACATCATGACCTCTAAAAGATAGTCATCCCTCGACACTTCTACTTTCACAGCTTCACTCTATCCGGTTTTTTCAAATATATTCATTAAAAAGTTGATCAAGACAGTGAAAATGATACAGCGCACGCTCGATTGTCTGAGTCAGTTATACACCCCTGTATTACAACTAAAATGAAAATTACTGTACGTATGGACTGTAAGCCTATGTATTCAAGCACCCCAGGAATCCTTCAACGCCAGGTGCAACTGCTAGAGTCTGGAACGGATTAACCACGATAAACGAGGGACGACTGTATCTGTATCAAAATGTTATCAAAGGGTATATGTAATATTGATCTCTGCCTGATATTTTTGACAGGTTAAAAAAAATTCTCTTATTTTTGATATTAAAACTTTCATTGTCATCCTTATAAAGATTTTTTTAATATGTACGTATACAGGGATTTTAGGTGTCGAGTGTTAAAACCTTTCCTGCTACAATAAAAAATTTCCTCAACCAATAATCTGTAGGCCTCAGCCATTTTTACATTTCTCTTTTATAAATAATATTATATGTTTTACCAACATTTTTTGTCACTTCAAATACTCTTATTTCAGAAAAAGACTTGGTTCCTTATAACCCAAAAATTATTTTAAAATATTTAGAGTCTCAAGTAGAATTGAGAAACTCTGATAAGGAAAACAAATGTTGACTTTTTCCAAGCTTTTTAAATGAGTCTATAGTGTTTTGAGTGGGACAGTTTGGTTATGAATGCATTCTCTGGAGTTAGATTGATAGTTTCAAGTCCCAGCTTCAACACAATCCTCAGACAAGTTATTTAACCTTCTGATATATGAGTTTGCTCATTTATAAAATGAGGGTGATGATAGTGCCCTCTTCCCAGAATTATTGTGAAGAATAAGTTAACATGTAAAAGGCTCCTAAGCCAGCATATTATAAGCCCCCCAAAAATGTTAGCTGTTGTATTTGAATGGGAAAATTCTTGAATATTTATAAATGAACTGTTTTGTGTGGTTTTTTTTCCTAGCAATCAGAAATGAAGAAACAAGTGAAGAAAGTCAGGAAGATGAAAATCAAGATATTTGGGAACAGCAGCAAATGAGGAAAGCTGTTAAAATCACAGAGGTAATAATTTTTTTATATCACGTGTATTAGTTTCCTGTGGCTGTTATAACACATGACAACAAATGTGATGCTTTAAAGCAAGAGACATTTATTCTGCCACAGTTGTGAAGGCTAGAAGTCTGAAATCAAGGTGTTGGAGGGCTGTACTCCCTTTGAATGCTCTAAAGGAGAATCCCTTATTCGCCTTTTCCAAGTTCTGGTCACTCCAGGAGTTCCTAGCTTTGTGACTGCATTACTCCTTCGCCTCCTGCACATGGCCCCCTTCTCTGTGCTTCTATACTGTGTGTGTCTTATAATGCCCACTTGGTAATTCAGAATGATACCATCTTGAGGTACTTCATTTAATTACACCCACAAACACCCTTCTTCCAAATAAGGTCATATTTGCAAGTTCCAGGGATTAGAACATAGACATATCTTTTGGGAGACCACCATTTAATTCACTATAGTATGTATATATGTGGTTTTTTTCACAAGATTTTAAATGCCCTCCACATATTTATTATAAGCCACTTGAGAGGACTATATCTTTTTTATTTTTAATTGTAACTTGACAGTATATATTATATGGTAAGTTGCTTAAAGGTGAAGTTTAAACAAATAGTGTGGCTATAACAAAACTCACAAAAAGAACATTGTACTTAGGGTTAGAAGTTTTGGATTTGGGTTTTGGCAATACCACTAAAATATATATTCCATGAGGTTAAAAATTATTAACTATTTTGTCCAATGTTCTACCCCACAGTCCCTAATATTGCAAGTGCTCTGTAAATATTGATTTTGAGAAAATCATTTCATTTTTCTATATCTGTCTTCTCATCAGTAACATGGGAATGATAATGTTACGTAACGGAGGAGGATGTAATGCTCCAAAGTATAATGATCTAAATCACAGTGCTTATAAATGGTATAATAATATACAAATATAAGGTTTTATTTATTTATTTTTAGTAAGAATGCTTTGAAATATTATTTGCTCTTGTAAGTAAGAAAGTATTATAAAATCTCTATGTAATTAAAACTAAAAAACTATTAAAGGTAGGCCTTTGGTTGTAATTTAGAAATCACTGACCAGGGGCATGATATAGAGGACTATTTTGTAATTATAACAGGCTTAGACCCCCACCACCACCCTTTTTAGTAAAATCATTATAACAACAGCATTAAAAAAATACTTTGAGAAAAAATATGCCACAGTTCTTACTCTTAACTGCTCAAGTTTGCATAATTCTTTTTTACTTTAGATCGTAAACAAAACTAGCTTTAAAAACACTGAGAACCGCCCTGGCCAGGGTGGCTCAGTTGGTTGAGTGTTGTCCTGTGCACCAAAAGGTTGCTGGTTCGATTCCGGGTCAGTGCACATGCCCAGGTTGTGGGTTCAATCCTCAGTAGGGGTGTACAGGAGGCAGCCAATTGATGTTTCTCTCTCACATCAGTGTTTCTTTCTCCCTCTCCCTTCCTCTCTCTCTAAAATTAATGAAGACATATATTTAAAAAAAAATGAGAACCAAGATTTTGCCAGATCACTCAGATGGTTGGACCATTGGCCCATACACCAAAGGTTGGAGTTTGATTTCTGATCAGGGCACATATCTAGATTGTGAATTCAATCCCATTGATGTTTCTCTTTCACATTGATGTTTTTCTTTCTCTCTATCCCTTCCTCTTTCTCTAAAAATCAATTTTAAAAAATATTCTTGGGTGAGGATTAGAAAAAAAGAAACAAGATTTTTTTAATTTGCCTCCTGCATGTTAACATTCTAAATTTTAAAACTGAGATTTTGGAAATATTTTACTATAACTATGAAAAATGTCAATGGCATTGAATTTTAAGCTAGTGAAACCTTGGAGTATATAATCTGCTTTTACGTTAATAATTGTAAGATTAATGAATGTTTGAAAACACTAATTTTTATATTATTTTTAGGGAAGAGACATAGATCTTTCCCACAGTAGTGAATTTCAAACAGTGAAGAAGTTTGATACTTCCATTTTATTTCCACCAGTAAATTTAGAAATTATAAAGAAGCAGTTAAATACTAGGTAAGTAATATTTACATTAAAATTTACATTTGTCGTAGACATTTAGTAGTGAAAAGATCAGCACTGTGTGTGTGTATATCTCTATGTGTGTGTGTGTGTGTGTGTGTGTGTATTTAACCTTTTAAATTGTTAAATATAAGTATTAATCCTAAACAGATATATAGGGAAAATAGCACCACCTGTGTTACCACATTAACACAACTAATTTTTATTTTTGTATATTTTTTTAGTCTTTATAAGAGGTATATATTACATGGTTAAAATCAATAAATATCAAATTCTGCTTTTTTTTTTTACTTAATGTTTTTATAAGCATTTATCTGCATTGTTAAATAGACTTTAATTTTTAAAAACATGTGGGGAGTGATAACAGCAAGATGCCAGAATATAAAACCCTAGACCTCATTTCCTCAAAGAGAGGAAATTATAAACTTGTTAACAACAGTATATGTTTAAAAAGCCTTTATAGAACTCCAGAAACCAGTTAGGAAGTCACAGCACCCCAGGCAAGCTCAAAGCCAAGAATAGCCACATTGTAATGGGTAAGAAAAGCCATTTCATTTCAGCTACATCAGCCCCTCCCATAAACCAGCACTGCTGTGATAGAAAAAGTTCAACTCATGGCTTCTCCATTGGAAGGGGAAAAGACGAGTGGAGAGTACAGTACATCCAACATTCTCGCTGTTGGGAAGACTGCCCAAAGGACTAATTTCTGCTTTATGTATCTTGGACCACCAATGAGGAATTCTCATACCTTGGATACCTGGGGCCACAGAGGATAAAAGACAGCTCAGTGGTTTGTTGTGGAGCCAGCCAGAGAGAACAAGAGAATACAGACTCTCCTGAAAAAGAAACCCACAAACCTCTGTAGATGGGAAATTTCATGTAGAAGCCCAGAGGAGCATCCCCCATCAAAAGTTTAAGAAGACACCCTTGCCCTGGCCGGTTTGGCTCAGCGGTTAGAGCTTTGGCCTACGGTCTGGAGAGACCTGGCTTCAGTTCCCGCTAAGGGCATGTACCTCAGTTGCAGTTTGTCCCCGGCCCTGGTTGGGTTGTGTGCGTGGCAACCACTCGATGTGTCCCTTTCACGTCGATGTTTCTCTCTCTCTCTCCCTCCCACTCTATCTGAACAAAATATCGAAAAATATCCTCGGGTGAGAATAAAAAAAAAAAAGAGGACACCCTTGCCCTGGCCAATTTGGCTCGGTGGTAGAGCGTCGGCCTATGGACCAATAAGTCACAGGTTCGATTCAGGCCAAGGACATGTACCTCAGTTCGGCCCCAACCCTGGTCATTGTGTCCCTCTCAAGTAGATACTTTGCTCTCTCTCCCTTTCTCTCCCTCTATCTGAAGATCAATAGAAAAAATATCCTTGGGTGAGGATTAATTTTTAAAAAAAAGAAGAAGACACCCTTTCCCCTGCCCCTAAAGACTCTCTGGCCAAGCTAATTGGTGAGGTTCCTTCCCAATACAAAACATTTTCAGATAAAAAAAAACAACACAAAAAAAGAACCAAACACATGAGAAAACAGGAACATATGGCTCAATCAAAAGGACAAAATAAATCCACAGAACTAATTTTAAAGAAAGATACCTGTGAATTACCCAACAAAACATTTAGACTAATCCTCTTAAAGAAGCTCAGTGTGCTATAAGAGAAGACAACTAAATGAATTCAGGAAAATATTACATGAACAAAGTTAGAATATCAACAGAGAAACTATAAAAAAGAACCAGATATTCTGGTGAGGAAGAATACAGTAATTGGCCCTGGCCAGTGTGGCTCAGCCATTAGAGCATCGGCCTGCAGACCAAGGGGTCTCAGGTTTGATTGCTGGTCAAGCACCCGTACCTGGGTTGCAGGTTCAATCTCTGGCCCTGATCAGGGTCTTGCTGGAGGCAACCAATTGATATGTCTCTTTCACATCGATATTTCTTTCCTTCCCTTCCTCCCTCCCTTCCACTCTACCTAAAAATCATTGGAAAAATATCCTCAGGTGAGGATTAACAAAAAAAAATAATCCTTTAAATAGTATTAATCTCAAAATAGATGGTATTTTTGCTAAAAATAAAGCATACCCCATGACACGTTGTTTTGTTTTAAATATGTTGTATTTTTTACTACTTGGTATCTAATGTGCATCCTTACATGTATAAAAGAATAAGTAGGATGGTAAAAGTCTAATTAGTTCTTATAAGACTTGATGCAAGGAGAGATTTTGTTTCTCCTGCCAAAGCAAATATATGTTCATTGTTGTTGTTTAATACCTGGGAATTTTTTTCTAATACTCTATGAAGAGGTTAAAAATATTCGCCCCTGGGCCGGTGTGGCTCAGTAGATTGAGCATTGTCCCATGGACTGAGAGGTCCCAGTTTGATTCCTGGTCAGGGGACATGCCCGGGGTGAGGGCTCAATCCCCATTAGGGTGCGTGCAGGAGGCAGCTAATGAATGTTTCTCTCTCACATCGAAGTTTCTATCTCTCTCTCCCTTCTCTCTCTAAAAAAAAGAAAGAAAGAAATCAATAAAAAAAAAAAGAAAAATGTTTTTTTAAAAAGCCCTGGCCTGTTTGGCTCAGCGGTTGGGACGTTGGCCCGAAGACCAGAGAGTCGTGGATTTGATTCTGGTCAAGGGCAGATACCTTGGTTGCAGTTCGGTCCCTGGCCCTGGTCAGGGTTGTACAGGAGGCAACCAACCAATTCGTCTCTCTCACATAAGTGTTTGTCTTTCTCTCCTTCTTCCACTCTATCTGAAAATAAATGTAAAAATATCCTCAGGTAAGAATTTAAAAAAATATATATTCTTCCTTGGCCCTGGCCATGTGGCTCAATTGGTTGGGCATCATCCTGTGCATTGAAAGGTTGCCAATTCAGTTCTCAGTCAGGGTACGTGCCCGGTTTACGGGCTTGATCCTGGTAGGGGGCGTGTGGGAGGCAACTGATCAATATCTCCCCCCTTCCTTCTATCTCTAAAAAATTAATTAAAAAGAAAAAACAAATTCACCTCTGCATCTTTTGTATAAATCAGTTTTAAAGTAGCTTCATACCTTTATTGTATTGCAGCCAAAATATCTTGGTCATAGTTGTTCAGTTAAATGGTTTGACGTAGAAAACATTTTGAAGCATTTTATAGTGAAATAAATATATGGAAATCTTCAGTTATACTAGTTTTCAAATGCTAGGTTATCTCTGTATTCTAGGGGCTAGGCAGACTGCTAGTTCACTGGTTGTTTTTGTAAATTTTGTAAAAATAGTTTTATTGCAACTCAGCCATGTTTGTGCATTTATGTGTTGTCTCTTGCTTTCGTGCTGACACAGAATTGAGTACGTAGATGGAACAGCAACCATCTAGCCTCCAAAGCCTAAAATATTTACTGCTTGGACTTTATAGAAAAAGTTCTCCAACCTTAGTTCTACATCATGGCTTTTCAGTAGTGATGTTAAATGATGAGATTGCCTTAATTCAAGATTATTTTTGTAACAACTTCACTATCATTTATTGTTTTTTTCTTTATATTCCTTCTTTAGTTGGAAGAAAAGAGCTAGAATTATAGCTATTACTTCTAGTATTGCATACAACTCAGAGTTTTATGCAAAAGGGAAAGTTAGGAAAGAACTGAAACTACCCTATCATTAGCTTGTGCACCAAAACACCTAGTGTCCTTTCCTACCTTTCCCCTTGAGACCGCTTTCTTTGTGATGCTCTCCTTGCTCAGCATGTCTCATAAGCCCAGGTTTATGTGGTCAGTTTCCTTGGTAGTCTCTGTAAGGTGGCTTTGAAAAAACTTTCGTCAGACTGCTGCTTACTATAGGAGAAATGAAAGTTTGAAAAGTAAATATTTATCTTTATTTTTTTTATGTAGATTAACATTACTACAGGATACTCACCGCTCTCACCTGAGGGAATATGAAAAATATATAGAAGATGTCAAGAGCTCAAAGAGTGCCATCCAGAACCTGGAGAATTCATCAAATCAAGCCCTACATTTTAAATTCTATAAAAGCATGAAAATTTATGTGGAAAACTTAATTGACTGTCTTAATGAAAAGGTATGTGACTATAAATATTTGTATCATTTACTTTTTATAGAATAATTTTTTTACTGTATGATTTACAAAAAGCCTAAATCTCACAACTAAATATTTTTCCCCAGTGTTTTCCCTACACGATTTTATATACTGTGATATTAAGCATTCCTATAATGTTGGATAGTTAGGATATTGAAAAGTTTTGTATATAAATTTTTGTGTTAAGCTTTCATCTCTTTAAGAAAAATTTCTAGAGCCCTGCTGGTGTGGCTTAGTGGACTGAGCATCGTCCCATGATCTGAGAGGTCCTGGTTCGATTCCTGGACAGGGCAGATGCCCAGGTTGTGGGCTTGATCCCCAGTAAGGGGCATGCAGGAGCCAACCAATCTATGTTTCTATCTCTCTCTCTCTTTAAAAAAATTAATAAAAACATATTTAAAAAGAAAAGAAAAAAGAAAATTTCCTAGAAAGTGAATTACTAAGTCAAAGGGTCTAGATATTTTTAAGGTTTATGAAACTTGCTAAACTATACTCCAAAAAGATTGTATGTTTTGTTTTTAGTATACTACATTTTAAAAGGTTATCGTTTTTATATGTTTATTTTGAGCTCAAATTCTTTGTTTTATTAGCACATGTAGTTGTAGTTTTTCTTTTGAATTGTTTTTCTCCTTTGCCCCTTGCTTATCTTCTTGGTTCATAGTGGGCTTTTATTTCCTTTTATTGTTTTTTTCTATATATTATGAACAGTTTTTTATTACTTTTTTTTTTTTAATCCTCACTCCAGGATATTTTTCCATTTATTTTCAGACAGAGTGGGAGAGAGAGAGAAACATCAGTGTGAGAGACACATCGATTGGTTGCCTCCCACATGACCCCAACCAGGACCAAGGACCGAACTTTGCCCTTGACCAGAATCGAACTCGCAACTCTTTGGTCTGCGAGCCATCACTCTAACCACTGAGACAAACTGGCCAGGGCTATTGCTTAAAATTTTTAATGCTTTATCCTATTTGACCTAGTTAAACTTTCCAGTTTGTTTTGTCTTCTGGCTTTTTGACATCCACATGTTTTGAAATTTTTGTGTTAAATCATATTTATGAATCATGTTTTCCCTTTATAGTTTCTGGGGTTTTTAATACATTCTAAGTTCATACATTAGGGTCTTGAGTTCCTTTTTTTTAACCGTTTTAGAAATGCACTTTACTTTATGCATTACTTTTTATTTACTATTGTTTTAAGTTGACTACCTTTTAATATCACCAGGTTGTTATATGCTGAAGTATTTATTATAATGTAATTTTCTTCATCCTTGAGAATTATACTATTCAAATCTTACTGGCCTACACATTGATGTATCCATAGCAACAGCTTTGGAACCTCATTAGAGTGGGGGAAATTACCCCAAAATATAAGAATTCCAGTTTCAATTAATCAAATTAGTCACTAATTTCTGCTTCACAGCTTTCTTACTTGCCTAGTTAGGTCTCTTCCATTCTTCACTTTTTATAATTTTCCCAGTTTTCCTCAAGCACCCATGCACACACAGTCTGCTCCCTCAGCCTGTAAAAAATTGCTGCACACATCATTTTCTCCTCCTCTTCTAGCTGAAACAGAAAAAAATCAAGATTTCTTATATGTTCACTCTTATCATGTTCCTGACTTCAGCCCATTTGGTTTCATTATTTATGATATTTATAGCTGTTCTAGTACAGTAAGTTGATTTTCTGGTTTTGTTAATATTGAAAGTATTGGCAGCTAGGTCTGTTCCTCATAGTGTTTATTTTTTAGTTGAGATGTGATAGTATGAAAATGTTTCTTTATATGAGAATTAAGCATATATACATGCTAATACATAAATATTACGTTTTATTATTTATTATTGATTACCCACAAAATGTTACTTATATATGTATTTCAGATTATCAACATCCAAGAAATAGAATCATCCATGCATGCACTCCTTTTAAAACAAGCCGTGAACTTAACGAAACGCAGGCAAGATGAATTAAAACATGAATCAATGTATTTACAACAGTTATCACGTTAGTGTTTTTCATCTTCAATATAATTTATTATCCATTAAGCTAAATTATTAGCTGGAGAATAAAATATTTATATTCCTGTATTTTAAAAATGCTTTTTGTGTATTTCCCCACTAATCTTTAACCAACTTCCTTCTAAAAACCCCAAAACATTTAGAGCTAGAGCTTTAAAATTAAGTCTAAGACTAAAAAATAAAAATTATTAACTTCTAATTACTTAGTATTGAGACAAAATGTTTATATGGCCATTTAATGACTGTTTTCATATGAGTTGACATAAATTCATAGACTTTGTTAGAAATCTAATTTAATCAAGTTTCCATTGCCTTTCCACAGATTAGTTATGCAGGTTAAAGAAATTCTGGTTGATTTCAGTATAGAATCTGTAAGATCTCAGTATTTAAGATTAGGATGCTACCTTTTACGTTTCACACTGCTTTTGTATTTTCTGAGATTTCTTCCTTTGATTAGCATGCTCTCGGGATAGTGAAAGTAATGAGACCATCATTACATAGGTGATAATAGCAAAAGCAAAATGACTTTCAAACACATGACATTCACTTGGTCATACATTATGGTACATGCTAAAATAGGAAATAATATGCATAACATATTAATAATGCAAATGTATCTAGCATTGAGCTACTGGGACAAAAACTGGTGAAAACTACTAAAAATTCTGAGGAAAGAAACTTTCCTAAAAAATCTAAAAAACTAAAAAATCAAGGAATTTTGCTATTGTACTCAAGTGCTGAACTATATTCCCCAGCAAGATATATTTTCTTAGGCTCACAAAGTCAATGCCTATTAATATCGTGATAGGGAGTTAACATTGCAATTTATTGCATAATGAAATACATTAAGTATATTATATGTGTTTGTTTAATATGTGTAACACACCCAAGATATGACTTTTGTTTTCAAAGTGTTTCACCTTATTTCTTTTGAAAACAGGCAAAGGTGAGACATCAGCAAATGGAAGTGTGGCTATAGACGAAAAACTCAATGGATTTTAGAAGAAGTTGAATCTCGAAGGTAGCTATATAGTGAAGACTTAAAGCATTATTGAGCAAGTATTTTTCACTACTTAAATATAGTATAATTAACCATAACCTAACAAATTAATTTGTGAGACTGATGTAAAACCAAAATATAGTTTAGCAGTCTTAACTAAATATAATTTAAACCCTCAATCCCAGGGTTTAGTGACACAGTGGTGTATTTCAATCAGTTAAAAGTAATAATGACATTTATCAGGCTAGGACTTGCTGCAAAGTAGAAGCCAGTCTTAAATATACTGTTAGCCATTCTTCAAAATCCGGGTAGCCTATGGGAATGTCTTGTAAGAAAAAAGGAGAACCAGCAATTCAGATTAATGAAGCTAAAATGTCAAAAATGTTAATATGAAATTGTGTGCTAATATAATGCTGTATTTCTGGGCATTTTAAATAAATTAACGACTATTGTAAAGCATTTACTTTCAGCAGGAGCTAGTCGTTTTTAATTGATTCTCGGTTTTTTGAAAAACACAGGGCACAAAGAAGACAAGCAAGGGCACTTTCTGGGAATTGTGATCATCAGGAAGGAACATCTAGTGATGATGAACCATCTTCAGCAGACATGACAGACTTCCAAAAAAGCCAAGGTCAATGACCAGTTTTCTAATGTGTCTTTATTTGAAGTATCGAAATGGTGGGAATTGCTTTTTAGTGATTGCCCTTAATTAAATACATAAGCTATATAAAACAGGAAATTTCGGGGGGAAAAAAAGAACACTTTTTTTTTTTCTACCTTTGGAAAAATGGGATAAAATGGAGGAGCACTGTGGGTATTACTGCATTTTTATGGGTTTTTTTTCCTCGGCTTTCTCATCTCCTGTTATAAAGGAGCCATGAATATTTTTTTTAATATGTTTTTATTGATTTTTTTAGAGAGAGAGGACGGGGGAAATAGAAACATTGATGTGAGAAACATCGTTTGGCTGCCTGCTGCACGCCCCCTACTGGGAATCGAGCCTGAAACCTGGGCATGTGCCCTGACTGGGAATGGAACCAGGACCTCTCAGTGCATGGGACGAAGCTCACTCCACTGAGCCACACCAGCCAGTCAAGAACTATGAACATTTTTTTAGTTTTATTTCTTCACTATATACTTTCTATGTTATCATTTGTAATTTAAAATAATTAAACATAGTAAAGCCATTGTAGTATTATGGGAAGATAAAATATGTATTTGAAAGAGTTGTGGGCTTGAAGTGGGTTTGAAGAGGGGCTCTATTCTGTGTGATCTTGTACAGATTCCTTAGCTTTCCTAAATCTGATGTTTGCTTGTTTATTATCTTTAAATAGGTGGGCTAGTAACACTTACCTTTTATGAAAGATAGTTATGATGAAATCAGATAGTGTTATTTGTAATGTTTTGGCATATAGCAGGGGCTCAATTAATGGTAGGTTTTATTAGTGTTGATATTACTATTACTAAAGTGATTTTTAATAAAAACTAATATGTCAATATCAAAGGAAGGTTTTCAACCCAATTGATTACGTAGTTATATATGACTTTGTTTAATGGAACACACTTAAAATGCATAACAAAGACTCATTTTTTTCGCAGGTGACATTTTACAGGATCATAAGAAGATTTTTGAAGATGTGCATGATGATTTTTGTAATATCCAGAATATTTTGTTAAAATTTCAACAATGGCGAGAAAAGTTTCCTGAGTCTTACTATGAAGCTTTCATTGGTTTATGCATACCGAAACTTTTAAGTCCCCTGATACGAGCTCAGTTAATTGATTGGAATCCTCTTAAGGTATGTAAGCTTAAGGTGAAAAAAAAGTCCTGATCATATTAGTTACTTAAATTCCTTTGTTTTATCAGGTTAGATACAAAATACTTCACCTTTAGAGTTGGAGTTATCATTGGTGCTTTGAAAAAGTAAAGGTTGTAAGACTTTAAGAATTTTACAGTCTTGATAAGTCAACCTAGGTACCAGTAGATCTGAAATTGCTGATGACATACTGGGGATAGTTGGTTAGTAAAGCTACTGCATTGAATAGGAGGAATTTTAACAGGGTTATAGGATTTAAACAGAAGGGGAGAGAGAAAAAAAGGTATTTTGTAAAAGTACATAAGGAGAAATAGAGTTTAGGAGCTAGACACTACACAGATGTTCAGGTCCTAAATTAAGAGATAGGAAATTGTTTTGGTAAATAATGGGAGGAGTAATATGATGAAAGTAAGGTTTTAGGAAATCCTAGCAGTAAGCTAACTTAGAGGGAAAGAAGATAAAAGGTGGACATATATGCTGGAAGGATTTGCTGTAGCCCAAATCCAAGATGATGAATTCCTTACATAGAGTGATAGTGACAATGGAAAGAGAAAAGAGTTGATTACAGGAGGTTTTATGAAGCAAGAAATCAGTAAAATGCTAAGAATAAACCTAACAACCCACATCCAAATATGACCCCGTTTGAATTCTGGGTTATTAGAACAATGGTAGTTCCATTAATAGAAATGAGGACTTTCCAGAGAGGGAAAGGGTTTTGAAGGAAGTTTCACTTTATAGATAATGAAGTAACAGGAAGTCTATCTAGATATGACTAGTAAGTAAGCAGAAACGAGATAATAAAATTCTAGGAAGAGAGGAGAGCTGAAGGTAAAGATTTAACAAAGTGAGGAATGGAGATGTGTCCTTTTATCTTTCTCACCCTAGTCATGCATGCCTGTTGGCTTTGTGTTAGGTTCAAGGCAATACAGTCTTCATAGTATAGGAACCAAGCTTATCTCTTAAGAAAGTGGTAGGTAGGTCATGAGACAGCAGCCTAGTTAACCTTTCAAGCCGAATGGAGTGCACAGCAGAGATCTGTTCTTTTGTTCATTCAACAGATATTAATTGGTCATTTGCTATCTGCCTAGTAAGCTAAATCAATGTAAAATACACATTTGTGCCTATGAGAATGAAGGGAGCCAGAAGTGAATTTTGAATGAGGTATATAAATTTTTGTAAGTAAGTAAGAATAGCACTATTAAGTTTTATTCTTATAAATGTATGATTTTCTCCTAACAGTATTTGCATTGTGGTTGGCTTTGGACACACACTGGGCATTTTTAGAGTATTCATCATAAAAATGAATGTATGAAATTGCATGCATATTGCATAGACATCCTATCTTAGTCATGTCATCATACCTAACCTTGGTGCTCTATTGCTGTATATATGGAGTTAAAATATGGAATTATTCTCCTTTGATCCTTAGAAAGCCCTGGTGGTTAGTAAAAGAATTAACCATTTAAAAATAAACTAATGCTTAAGAATTTATTTATAACTTTGATCATTGTATTTATAAGTTTGATTCCATAGATTTAAAACAGATGCCATGGTTCAGATCTATAGAAGAATTTATGGATAACAGTATGGAAAATTCAAAGGAAGATAGTTCTGATAAGAAAATCTTATCTACTGTCATCAACAAAACAATTATTCCTCATCTTACAGGTACTGCTTTGTAATCTTGTAAAATTAAATTGTTCTTGGGCAGCGTCTTAGATCCTTACTTTCTGTTACAGTCTTATTTTTTTTCTCAAAAGATTTTTATATTTTAATTAATTTATTTTCATTACAGAGGTCCCTTCTTTTTTCCCCCATTGACACCCTCCTCCCTACTTCTGTTCCTCCCACCGCCCCCACCAACCACCACCTTCACAGTATTGTCTGTGTCCATTGGTTGTGCATATATACATATAAGTTCTTTGATTTATCTCTTCCCACTCTCCCACCCTCCCTCCCTCTGAGGTTTGTCAATCTGTTCCCTACTTTCATGCCTCTGGATCTGTTTTGTTCATCAGCTTATTTTGTTCATTTTATTTCTCTCAAGTTGTTGAATACAAGTAAGTGTAATATGCAGTAAAAATCAACAGATGTCATAATTTAAGTTGGTTATAAGATGCTTATTGGTGCAGTCAGTTTACTCTCAAACTGTTGATAATCTTTGTCCTTTAGCATTTGTCACATTAGCATTGCTTTTATAGCTCCTTGGTCATTTATTAGTGGCACACTTCTATCCCTACCTCATGTATATTTTTCTTTTTCTTAACTTGTCCCCTTATGTACTTCTTCTTTACTTCTTCTTTCTTTAAAAAAGATGCTACTACATTTCCCTCACACCTGCCACTGGCAATCAGAAGTACTTATGATGCTGTGCTTCAGTCTAAAGACCCTTGTTTTTCCTCAGATTGTACCTGATAAGGATCTTTGTCACTGAGAATGCATTCCGACAACAAAATCTGCATAACTCTTAAAAGATGAAGCAGCCAGCCCTGGCCGGTTTGGCTCAGCGGTTAGAGCATCGGCCTGCGGTCTAGAGAGACCCGGGTTCGGTTCCCACTATGGGCATGTACCTCGGTTGCAGTTTGTCCCCAACCCTGGTTGGGTTGTGCGGGTGGCAGCCACACAATGTGTCCCTTTCACGCTGATGTTTCTCTCTCTCTCTCTTTCTCTCCCTCCCACTCTATCTGAACAAAATATGGAAAAATGTCCTCAGGTGAGGATAAAAAAAAATTAAATAAATAAAAAGATGAAGCAGCCAGCTTTATATTGCTTCTCAGCCAACTAGACTAAACTTTAAAGGTTTTTCTCAGTGTAACTTGCTATGCAGTCATGAGGTATATTACAAAGTTACTACAAAGTATGAGGTGTATTACAAAGTTAACTAGCTGTATTAGTGATTGTATAGAATGTGTGACTCACTGGTGTACTTTTTTAAAAATTCAAACATTTCATTTACAATTAAACAGTCTCTCAAATAAGCAGCATTATGAGAAATTAATACTATCTATTTTATTTTCAAGTCCTACCCTGGACCCTCTTCATGAGCTCCCTGGGTAATTTCACACTCTCCTTTTGTGCCATCTATATCAGTGTTATTCAGTATGGTGACCACTAACTATATTTGGTTATTAAAACATAAATTTCAACTAAGTAAAATTAAAATTTAGTCTCTAAGTCACACTAGCCATATTTTAAATGTTCAGAAGTCATATGAAGCTCTTGGCTATCATATTAATTAGTGCAGATATAAGATGTTTTTCCGTCATCACAAAAAGTTATTTTGGATAGTGCTGTTCTACATAATTTTAAATCCAAAAGAACAGGAAGAACAAGTCCAGATCACTTCTTAGAGCACCAGATCTCTCTTATCAAAGTGCCTCTGAACTCATCCACTCGGATGTCTAACAGGTAACTCAAGCTCCATATGCAGGATCATACTTACCATCTCTGCTGTTGACCTGCTCCTCATATATTCCTTATCCAGAAAATGCCACTTCCATCTCCTCATGTATTCAAACCAGAACCTTCAAGTCATGCAATCTTCCTTCTTTCTTATCCTTATCTCTTTATGTAAGCAGTGACAAAGTCTTGTCATTGTTTTTTCTTTTTCTTACCTATTTTCTTTTTTTTTTTATCCTCACCCGAGGATATTTTTCCACTTTTTGTACAGATAGAGTGGGAGGGAGAGAGAGGAAGGGGGAGAGAGAGAGAGAGAGAAACATCGACGTGAAGGGACACATCGAGTGGCTGCCACCCGCACGACCAACCAGGGCCGGGGACAAACTGCAACCGAAGTACGTGCCCTAGCGGGAACCGAACCCGGGTCTCTCCGGACCGCAGGCCGATGCTCTAACCGCTGAGCCAAACCGGCCAGGGCCTATTTTCTATACTGTATAGTGATATACCTAAAATGTCAGTCTGATTCTGTCTTACCTCTCCTAAAACACTTATATTATTCTTAATTTCCTGAAGCGTGAAATCTAAACTCTGTTAGCTTTCTAGGCATTTCAGAGTCATATCTCTTTTTAGTAATTCTGCAGCTACATCCCTTTCCCAGCTCTGTTCCTTCTCTTTTCCACCTCTCCTGCCCTTCAGCTGCACTCTCCTAGCCATTGACATTTTGTACGCTCCATCCATTTACCTCCAAGCCCCACTTCTTTCACCCGGCTAACTAACTCCTCTTTATCTTTTAGGATTCAGTATGGACATCTCTTCTAGGAACTGGTTTAGGCATACTATGGGTTCCTATACCACTCTGGTCTCATACTTATGATGGCACCCACACTGAATTATAATTGCTTTTATGTAAGCATTTGGATTTGCCATTAGACTAAGTTATTCAAAGGTAGCTGCTGCCCTGGCCAGTTTTTTCAGTGGTTAGAACATTGGCCCATGGACTGACGGGTCATGGGTTCAATTCCTGGTCAAGGGCACCTACCTGGGTTGCAGGTCCAGTCTCTGGCCTTGGTTGGAGTCATGTGAGAGGCAACCAATCAATGTGTCTCTCTTCATTGATGTTCCTCTCTCACACACTTCCTCTCTCCCTCCCTCCCTCTCTCTCCCCCCACACTCTCTCCCCCCCCCCTTTCTCTCTCCCTCACCCCTAGCAAACAAAAACAATAAAAAGGCAGCTACCTTCTATTATTTATTGTTGTGTCTCCTGTATATAATGCTAGCCACATAGTAGGTTCTCAGTATTAGTGGACAGAATATTTCTAAGGTTATTAAAAGTCTAACCTTCTAGACGTTTTAGCTGCACGATTGCAAGCACAGACTCGGTGACAAGGTGGATTTAGCTTGGTTTAGCCACACAGGTTCAACAAAGCCCAAAAGGACAAGGAAATTGAAAATTCCTTGCAAATATGCAAGGTATGCAAATATGTAATGGTAATGATTGGTGTGGATTTTAAACAAAAGGAAGTTAATTATCCTTGCTAAAAAAAACTTCAGTTGTTTATATGTAACAAGCAAAGCAATTGAATAAATAATTGTGCACTACCAAAATTTTTGTTTCAGACTTTATAGAATTCATATGGGATCCCTTGTCGACCTCACAGACAAGAAGTTTAATAACACACTGCAGAATGATTCTTGAAGAACATTCCACTTGTGAGAATGACGTTAGTAAAGGCAAACAGGTAATAATTTCCAGAGTTACAAATTTCTTCATTTGTTTATAAGTCAATAAAATTTTATTATAAGTCTTTGTTTACAGAAGATGCAAAAGAAGTAATTATCAGAAAACTATTGGGGGAAAAATATATTTAGTTGTGATTTATAGAAAGTAGGATTGACCTTTTTTTCTGTTTATGATCAGACAAAAGAATACACTTGATATTTCTGAATTCTCTTACAGGAATGGAAATCATTACAGGATACACATACATACATATAATAAGACCCAGATTGTTGTTTTCATTCGTACTAGCTTATTTCTCTGTTCAGTGGTCTGGTTTGTGTTCTCATGGCCCAGACAGCCATCTGCCAGGTTTGTGAATGTACATTGGCCCTGCAGAGATGAATCGCATTAATGAATTTGTGCAAATTCATTCCTTCTAAAAGAAAAGCAAAAAATTTCATTACCTTTATTCTTTAGGCAAAAATTTAGTGGCATCATGGCTTTGCTTTAATGATGATTTTAAAATTAGGCTAAACTTCATTATATTAACTAATTATTTGTAATCTGCCAAAGAGCAGTGATCTCTTTAAGGATTCAGAGTTCAATAGGACAGAATCTCTTCATACTGTGATTTAGAATTGAGTTTTACTAAACATAAAACATAAAGAGGAACTTTTTAGAGGCCTTGGGTGAGAGTCTGTTGAATCTTACTTTTATTGTAGTACTTTGTTTTTTGTCATTCTTTTTATGAAAATGTATACTTATGCAGTTAAATAAGTAAATGAATTATATGTTGAGTTTTAAGGAAACTAAGAGATTGACAGACTAAAAAGCACCCAGAGTAGAATAACCAAAGTGATTGAAAAGCAAGGAGGTATGTCATACTCATATTCTGAATATCATTAAACTCTAGCGCTTGAAATTGTTATGAAGGAGGGAAACTGTAAGAAGAGGGAGAAGAGGGCGTTCATCATGATTCTGCCTTTAAGAAGCATGTAATCTCAGAAGAAAAAAAATGTACATAAACTATTGTTTAAAATAGGAAGTGAGAGGTGGGGAAGTCAAAGAACACTTATTTAATTCCTGCTGTGTACTCTGTCAGGTCTGGTAAATGTGTCCTTCTACTTAGTGCCATGCAGTCCTATAAAGAATGGATGATAGCTTCATTTTACAGATGAAGAAATCATCTCAAAGTCTTGTTCACGGGAATACCTTGAGTTTGAACTAAAATTTGAACCTTCGTTAGTTTTACTTTAAAGCCCAAGCTCATCTCACTGACCACAGTGCCTCCCCATGAGCAGGCCAGGTAAAGTGCTATGAAACTTCAAAAGAGAGGCAGGAGAGAAGTTACTTTCTGCAGTGACGGAGTTTATGTTAGAGGTGGCATTTGAGCTGGGATCTAAGAAAGGATAGGATTTGAACATATAGCAACATGAAGGGAGCTTAAACTTGTCCTGAATAATCCTAAGAAGTAAACTAGGACTATGGAGTGAAACGTGTAGGAGAGAGAAGTTAACTGAAATCTAATAGTAGCTGTCTGAAGTTAAGGAGATGTTTTTCAAATATGGGTTCCTTTTTAAGAATAAGAAAAATATCACCCTGGCCGGTTTGGCTCAGCGGTTAGAGCGACGGCCTGCGGTCCAGAGAGACCCGGGTTCGGTTCCTGCTAAGGGCACGTATCTCGGTTGCAGTTTGTCCCCAGCCCTGGTTGGGTCGTGTGGGTGGCAGCCACTCAATGTATACCTTTCATGTTGATGTTTCTCTCTCTCTCTCGCCCTCCCACTCTATGTGAGCAAAAAATGAAAAAATGTCCTCGGGTGAGGATAAAAAAAAAAAGAATAAGAAAAATATCTTTCCCTAGTGGGTGTAGTTCATTGGTTAGAGTGTTGGCCCACACACCAAAGGGTCATAGGTTTGATTCCCGATAAGAGGCATGGCATGCAGGTTTGATCCCCGGCCCAGTTGGGGCACATGTGGGAGGCTACCAATTGATGTGTCTCTCTCACATTGATCTCTCTCTCTCTCTCTCTCTCTCTCTCTCACATTGATCTCTCTCTCTCTTTCTCTTCCTCCCTCCCTTCCTCCCTTCCCCTCTCCCTTTTCTCCCCTCTCTCCCCCTCTCCCTCCCTCTCCTCCCTTCTACTCTCTCTAAAAATCAGTGGAAAAAATATCCTCAGGTGAGGATTAACAACAGCAACAACAAAACAATATCTTATTATAGAAATTTTGCTAATACATGAAAAGAAATGTTTAACTCCCCTTGTCTTTTATCCTAGTTCAAAGGCTGATAACCATTGTAGGATATTTTCATCCAGCATTTTATTTCAAAGTTGTAATCCTAACAGACGTGTACATTTGTAATCTACTTCTTCCACAGAATATTATCTCACTAAATATTTAAATGTGTATGTTACTCCAGTCTTCATAAACTAGCTAAATAATATTTCACGGAGTATGAATGATGGCTATAACTTGATGTTCTTAAAAGTCCCTATGATTGAATATTTTGGTTGTTTCCAATTTTGGATATACAAATTTTAAAAAATAAATTTGCCCAAATGAATTTATTGCATCAAAGGACATTAACAAACTAACAAAGGACCCATAGCTAGAGTATATAAAAGGCTTCTACAAATCAGTGAGAAAGAGGTAGACCTAATAAATAAGCAGATAGGTAAACAGGCAGCTTAATTAGGTAGTTTGTAAAAGGGCATGTTCAGATGGCAAATAATATGAGAGAATGTGCAACATCATACTACTTGACAGAAAAATTTTAAAAACATACCCACCAGAATTAAAAAATACCACATTTTGGTGAGGGTGTTAAGTAATATATACCACCAGTGGGACTATAAATGGAATACCACTACTTCCTAAAAGACACATGCAAGGACTTTCACAGAAACATTATTCATAATAGTCCCCAAATTGAAAACCATCTAAATGTTCTATCAGTAGTATTCATGTAACAGAATACTGTACAGCAGTGAAAAATTTACAGCCACAGTGACAGGCAGTAACATGGATGAACAAAGTTCTCTTGTACCTAATTTGATATTTTAACACCTGATTCTCTGTGTGTATACAAAATAAATTACTCCTTTTGGTAAATATATTTCTACCTATGACTATTACTGATGCTTTAAAAATTTTAAATAATAGGATTTACTTAAATCCATTGTTTCAAGAATGAAGAAAGCAATAGAAGATGATGTTTTTATTCCTCTGTATCCAAAGAGGTAAGAACTATTAATATCTAGATTATGTGAAATAGCTAAACATGTAATACAGCTTTAAGAATTTAATACAAAAGAAACTATATTAAGTATTTTCAAAAATGTACATAATACCCATTTGGATGCAGATTGAGATTTCAACAAATATTTTTCAGTCACCTTCTATATACCAAATGTGATGCTTGGTACTTTGAGACAGGGTTTTTGTTTTGTTTTGTTTTGTTTTGTTATGTTATTCTTAAGAACAGGACATGTGGCATGGCAGAGTAATTAAAAGCACAGATTCTGGAGCCCAGATTCACCATTACTAGATAATGACCTTGGGCCTTTCTGTGTCCTCAAATGTAAAATGGGACATTAAATTAATGCCTACCTCAAAGGACAGTGTGAAGATGAAGTGTGCTCACAACAGTGCCTGGCACAGAGAAAGCACAGCATAAGGCCTGGAACATCACTGAGGGGCCAGTAACTGTATCAGTGAATTCCGTATTTACTTTAAATTATGAAACAAGTAGTATGTGATGCATGTTCATTCATTTTCTAAGAAGACATCAGTTATAGTAATGGATCGTGAACTGAAGCTACCTAGTGAGTAGTCACAGGATGGAAGGAAGAGTTTTATGGAGAGAAAAGAAAGGTACTTCTAAGCTTTCTGGTCAATTTGAATCAACAGATATCTTCGTAAAAATTGTGCCTTTTTAAGGTTTGTTCTCTAATGCTTTGGACGTGTAATATATTCACTTGGTTCAAAGTATAAGTGTATCTTTTTAAAATACTTCTTGTTTGAATCCTCACCTGAGGATATTTTTACATTTATCGTCAGATACAGTAGAGGGAGGGAAGGAGAGAGAGAAACATCTACTGGTTGCCTCTCTCATGACCAGGGCCGGGGACGAACCACAACCGAGGTACCTTGACCGGAATCAAACCCATGGCTCTGGTCCTCGGGCCAAAGATCTAACCACTGAGCAAAACTAGCCAGGGCAAGCTATTTATATTTTAAATGAGAAGTCTTAATTCATCCCACTCCTGAACTACATCCACCCAGTTTTTTACCTTCCTCCGCTGTGTATATAAATGCATGCAATAATAATTAGTAATTTTTTTATTTTTTCAGAATTTCTTGATGCAGTTAGAATTAAATAAGTATATATGTTATAATCTTATTTACCTCCTTTCTAGAGCAAAGAAAGTATATTATAAACAATTGTACATTGTTTCATGCCTTACTTTTTTGACTTAGTACAGCTTTGAGATCTTCATATAAGTAGTTTCCTCATTTTTTTTAAGCTGCATAATATAGATGTACTGTAACTGATGGGCATGTAAGTGGTAAACCATTACCAACAATGTAGTGAATAATTTCATAGACATTCTGTGCATGTGCAAATATGTCTATAGAAACCATTCTCAAAAATAAGTGTGTTGGGTCCGAGTGTGCATGCATTTGTAATTTTTATATCATCAGAGCACCTCCATTTATATTCCATTAAGGCTTAGTTTGGTTGGTTTAAAAAAGAAAATACTCAGTTTTTAAATTCCGGTTCTGGAAGATTAACAGTTATTCAGATTTCTCTTTTCTCTTTAATTTCACATTAGTGCTATAGAAAACAAAACGTCTCCACATTCAAAGTTCCAAGAAAGACAGTTCTGGTCAGCTCTAAAGGTAAGCAGAGAACTGCAAAAATAATTCTTTTTTTTCTTTTAAATCAATTTACTATACAGGGAGATCAACAAACTTCTGTAAAGGACCAGACTGCTTTTGTCCATATAGTCTCTTGAACTATTTAGCTCTACTGCTGTAGCACAGTCACAGATAATTCATAAACAAATGAGCATGGCTGTGTTTTCATAAAAGTTTACTTATGGACATTGAAATTAAAATATCATAATTTTCACATGTCACAAAATTTTCTTCTATTTTTTTTAATCATTTAAAAATATTAAAACCATTCTTAGTTCACCAGCTCTATAAAACAGGCAGTAAGATGGATTTAACCTGCAACCCATAATTGGCTAGCCCCTAGTCTAAAAGATAAAGTATGCAGTCAGTGCTAAGTTGGTGGCAATAAGGATGGTAAGAAGAAGATGGGTTCAAAAGGTATTTAGGCTGAACCACTGAAAGGACTTGATGACTAGTTAATAACATGTAAAGAATGTAGAGTGCGCCCTGGCCAGTTTGGCTCAGTGTTTAGAGTGTTGACTCATGGACCAAAGGGTCGTAGGTTCAATTCTGGTCAAAGGCACATACCTGGGTTGCAGGTTCGATCCGTGGCCTTAGTTGGGGTTGTGTGGGAGGCAACCAATAGCTGTTTCTCTCTTTCTCTCTCTGTCTCTCTCTCCCTCCCTTTCACTCTCTCTATCCAAAAAAAAAAAAAAAAAAAAAAGGGAAAAATACCTTCAAGCGAGGATTAACCAAAAAAAAAAAAAGGAAAGAAATATTTTCTGTTGTCTCTAAAACAGTGCTAAAGGTACATAGTCACTTGACATTTTATTTTATTTTTTAGCTCTTCCACAATATTCTTCTTTGGATTGGACTTGTCCCAGATGACACCTTGCAAGAGCTAGGACTAGGAAAGCTACTAAATCGTTACCTTATCATAGTTCTTCTTAATGCCATTCCTGGGCCAGATGTTGTTAAAAAGTGCAACCAGGTGAGTTATGTACAAAATGATTCTGATTTTATCTTTTTTAAAATTCAGTTATTAAAATCTATTTTGTAGCAAAATAATTAAAGTTGTGATGCTCACAGAATGACAAACAAATCTGTTTAACAGACTGGAAACCTAGAAGGGACTCCTCAGTATTTAAAAATTAGTATACTGTCCCTGGCTGGTTTGGCTCAGCGGTTAGAGTGTCAGCCTGTGGTCCACAGAGACCCAGGTTCAGTTCCTGCTAAGGGTGTGTACCTCGGTTGCAGTTTGTCCCCGGCCCTGGTTGGTCATGCAGGTGGCAGCCACTCGATGTATCCCTTTCATATCAATGTTTCTCTCTCTCTCTCTCTCTCTCTCTCTCTCTCTCTCTCTCTCCCTCTCTCTCTCTCTCCCTCACTCCCTCCCTCCCACTCTGTCTGAACAAAAAATGGAAAAATGTCCTCGGGTGAGGATTCAAAAAAAATTAGTATACTGGTTAATTGTTTACAAAAAGAATGTTGTTTTTACCTCTCCCTAAATACCTACCTAAATAAATAAATAAATTTTTTTATAAATAAATAAATTTTAGGTGAAATAAAGAATCAAGTGTTAAAAATGAAATAAAATATTGTACTAAAAAGGTAAATGACTATGATGGTAAGGGAGTCCTTTCTGAACATAAAGGCAAAAGCAAAAACACATACACACACATATACACATTAAGCTGCAGTTCCTAGCCAACCATAATTTTTCTGGCTATGGTTTTTATATCACATAGTTTAAACTACGTTATCTACCACAATCTTAAATCATCATCCATGCTATGTGTTTCAGGTTCCCTTTAGTCTCCTTTCACCATAAGAGTCTACTATGCAGAAGTAGAGAAGACGACACATGACATTCTCTCCACAGCTTGTGGCTAGAAAACCAAGACAAGACCAGGTGGTTTTATGTCCTGGGATCATTTATGGAAAAGCTATCTGCTTCCATGAGACTTGTGATACAAAACAAGGGGAAGCCAGGTGCAAATGATACTACAATGCAAGCCAGTAAGGTCTGGTTTCAGAACTTCAAACAATAGATACAGTTGGCATAGCAAAACTTGTAGGACTTCCTGCCTTAGGCAGGCAATGTGTCTGCATTTTTTCCAGTAGTTGCAAAGAGTGATTAAGGGGTAGGAAAAATCTTTTTTCTCATCTGTGTTTTCTCTGCTGACCAATCAGATTTATTTCAGAAAGAGTGCATTCCAGAACTTTCATTTAACATTCTATAATAAATATGTGGCACATTTCCCTCCTTTTACTTTATATAAGTACTGATCTTACCAACTGCATCATAACCTGTTTGTTTGTCCAAGAGTTTTTTTGAATAGTATGACCTCAGGTTTTTCCTTCTCCCCTTCTCTCTCCTTTTTAATCTTCCTTCTGCTATGAAGTTTTTCTTTTATTTTGGTAACACATTTTTGTTTTTACCAAAACTTCCCCCAAATCATTTATTGCCTTTAGCGTGATAATCAGTGTTATTTTTTTTTCCAAAAGAAAATTTATACATACACTGACTCTCTATGCTGCCATGAACATTTAAAGCAATGGCTTAATTTACAACAAATTCAAAATCTTATCTTTAATTTGTTGTAGATCATATGCTAGGTCACCCAATATCTTAGTGAAATTATACTAAATATATGTATTTTATAGTTGCGTTCACTAAAAGTGTTTTGTGTGGGCATTTCTGGTGGTAAATTATGCTTTGTGCAGATTTAATGGCTCAGGAATAGAGTGTAGAAAGTATTACAAATAGCACTAGAAGGCATAAAGAATAGTCTATTTTAACCTCTTGGAATTAAAATATAATTATTTTAAAAGTGTATAATCCTTGATAAAGAAAGGGAAAATTCTCAAAATTTACCTGCATGATCACTGTGAAGATTAAATGGTATCGTGTTAGCAAAAGTCCTTAGATGATAACTGTCATTATTAAAACCAACCATGTGTTTTGATTAACAGATAACAGCGTATTTACCAGAAAAATGGTTTGAAAATTCTGCCATGAGAACATCTATTCCCCAGCTAGAAAACTTTATCCAGTTTTTATTGCAGTCTGCACAAAAATTATCTAGAAGTGAATTCAGGTAATGCATATTTAATTGTACTTCCATAGCATAGTTCAGGGATTCTGTTCTCAACAATTTTTAGAAAGGTTTGTACTTTACTTTTATTTCTTTTTTTTTTTTTTTTTTATCCTCACCCGAGGATATTTTTCCATTTTTTGTACAGATAGAGCGGGAGGGAGAGAGAGGAAGAGAGAGAGAGAGAAACATCGACGTGAAAGGGACACATCGAGTGGCCGCCACCCGCACGACCAACCAGGGCCGGGGACAAACTGCAACCGAAGTACGTGCCCTTAGCGGGAACCGAACCCGGGTCTCTCCGGACCGCAGGCCGACGCTCTAACCGCTGAGCCAAACTGGCCAGGGCCCTTTGTTTTAAAATTAACAGACTTTATTATTATTTTTGAGTAGTACAGACAGTTAACATACACCCCTTCTTGCTGGGAGAAGAAAAGGTGTGGTGTGGACTCCGGGCTCTGGTTGTCACATGCGCCCCCTGGTGGGGACCGCTGGCCTCCATCCCGTTCTGCAGTGCATGGAGCGTTCATTTAACCCTTACAGCAGCTCTCCATGGGCACGTCGATCCCTGTGTTTTAAAAATATGTTTTTATTGACTTGAGAGAGAGGAAAGGAGAGGGAGAGAGAGAAACACTGATGAAAGAGAACCATTGATGGGCCGCCTCCTGCACGCCCCCTACTGGAGATGGAGACCGCACCCCAGGCATGTGTCCTGATGGGAACAGAACCTGCAACCTCTTGGTGCATGGGATGATGCTCAACCAACTGAACCACACTGGTCGGGGCTTGATCCCCTTTTTAATGATGAGGACTCTGAAGGGCAATGACATGCTCAATGTCACACGTCAATGTGTCGAGTTGCTCATTTATTCAATGGGTGAAGAAGACTTGGGAAGAAGGAGTCGAGTTATCCCCTCACAAGGTGCAGAGTGCACTGTGAGCAAAAAACATCACAACAGCAGACAGTGATTGCTGGCACCAAGGGGTAGGGGCTCCAGGGGACTGGGGAACACTCGGAAATGGCCTTTTAAACAAATTTGGCAGGAAGAGTCCCCAGAAATGGGGAAATTGAGCTCAATCCCCAGTAGGGGCCTGCAGGCGGCAGCCTATCAATTTTTCTCTCTCACATCAATGTGAGAGGCAACCAATGTGTCTCTCTTATATCACCGTCTCTCTCCCTCTCTACTCCCTCCTCGCACTCTATCTAAAAATCAGCGGAGCCCTGGCCGGTTTGGCTCAGCGGTTAGAGCGTCGGTCTGCGGTCCGGAGAGACCCGGGTTCGGTTCCCGCTAAGGGCACGTACTTCGGTTGCAGTTTGTCCCCAGCCCTGGTTGGTCGTGCGGGTGGCAGCCACTCGATGTGTCCCTTTCACGTCGATGTTTCTCTCTCTCTCTCTTCCTCTCTCTCCCTCCCACTCTATCTGTACAAAAAATGTCCTCAGGTGAGGGTAAAAAAAAAGAATCAGTTGAGAGTGCCCTGGCTGGTTTTGCTCAGCAGTTAGAGCATCGGCCCATGGACCAATCTTGATTTCTATCAAGGGCATGTACCTTGGTTGCAGTTCGTCCCTGGCCCTGGTCATGGTCGTATGGGAGGCAGCTAGTTGATATGTCTCTCTCACATCGATGTTTCTCTTTCTCTCCCTCTCTCTTCCTCCCTCCCACTCTATCTGAAGATAAATATAAAAATGTCCTTGGGTGAGGATTAAAAAAAAAAAATCAGTTGAGACTATTAGTGTAGAATTATTAGATATTTTTATGTGCAAACTTTGGAGTCACTATTTTATACTCACACCTCGTGCATATAGATATATATATAGTTCATATTTTTAAATGTAAATCTCTTCCAAAATAAGCACATCCAGAAAACTATATAGCACAGAGGAATTTAGATTAAAAGTGTAAATGTCTCTTATTAAGTATGTTTTTAATGTTTCTAATTTTCCTGGCCATTTTTAAAGTATCAGTACTTTTTAAGCACAGGTCTGCAGTCTGCAACCTGGTGTTTACCCAACAGTAGCTAGATCTCTGTTTGGCATATCTAATTCACAGCATTGAATGTTTGGGGGCTTAAGGACAGCGTGTTCTGGTGGACCACCTCTCCAAAAATTACAAAGCCCAGATTTGTAGCATTAGATAATGTCTGTGGATAAATACTCCCAGTGATGCCCCCACCTTAATAGCTCAGACAAGCTGGTAGCAGCAGACCACAGCTCAGATTTTTGATGACAGATTTGCTGTGTTTTTCTGCATTTTACAGCCATTCACATTAAAATGTGCCAGAATACATCCATGAAATAGTCTGAATTAAACTTTGTAATTATGTGGAGAAGGTAGCATCAGAATATATTATGCTATTTTAGATACTGGCTTAAGGTAAAGTTTCTGTTTGAGGGAAACAACTGATGATTCACTGTGTTCTCATACATTGCATTTTTAAGGGGGAAATGCTTTTTTTGTTTGTTTTTCAGGGATGAAGTCAAAGAAATTCTTCTTATTCTGGTGAAAATACGAGCTTTGACTCAAGCAGAATCCTTCATAGAAGAGTATCATCTAGACCACCTTAAATCAGTAATTAACCAAGTTTGAGTAAATTCTGTAGACTAAAATAGATTTTAGGATAGTCACATTTGGCTCCTTTGCTGGTGGGAGAAAAAAGCTGGTGCCTCTTCTTTATTCCTAGTAATGGAGGCGAGGATTAAAAAAAAAAACAAGAATGTTGTCCCTCCGCTGCGTCTGTGCCAGGAAAGGCTGCCCTCCTGATCCTGATTCTGTGGTGTTTGCAGGAGTTAAGTACACAGGGCAGTTAAGAGTTGAACATATCCATTTGCCTTGGATTCTTGTGGCAGCTATTCCAGTTTAAGAGGGGAGTTGGCGAAACCTTGATTGTAGCTGCTTTGGCTCCAGTGGGTCTTCTGTCCGGATCCACATACACATCTTTTAGTTCTCTTCATTGAAATGATATCTATCTATAGATAAGTTAAAGTGGACATCTTAATTGGAATGAATTATTTATTAAGTATTAACTGATTAAGCATTTTAAGGCTTTGATAATTTTGATAACAAATCGTCCTTCAGAAGTCTATACCAGTGTATTGCACCAACACAAGTGCAGGAGAGGCCAGTGAATCTCCCCAGCAATAGATATTATCATTTTTTTAAGTCGCTGTAAATTTAATAGGTGAAAAATATTTTAATTATGTGTTTGGGCTGTTAGAGAGTGAATGCTTGTTGTTTTGGGCCATTTGTAATTCTTTTTGACATGTCCATTTATCGTTTATGGATTTGTGAGAGCTTCATATATTCAAAGATAATGTTTTCCCTGTCCTGTGTCATTTGCCATTTTTCTTTTAATATTGTGTATATTTTTAGTATAATAAGTCATTACCTGTTAGGTAGTTACTCTTTTTTTTGTTATAGTTTTTGTCATTGGTGGTAAATTTAGACAAGAAATAGGTATTTTATTCAGAACATGGGATTCATTTTCTGATAGAATATTTGTGTAATTAAGAAAATCTGAGGCAAGAGTTGGGGTTGAGAATATTTTTAAAGCAAGAGTTTACTAATAATATTTCTTAAATCTATTTGTGAAATAACCTAGTGGCGACCCTAAATATATATTTTGCACAAAAGATAATCAGGAAAAATTTATTCTATTGTAGGATTTGAGCATGTGGCCTCTGACACTGTCACCCCTAGCTTTGAAGCTGCATATATTTTAAAGGGTTGATGTGTTACCCACTGAACGAAGACTCATGATTCACTTGATGAACAATTTTTTTAAAGTTTATTTTAGTTACAAAAATTATACAGGAATGGAATCTCATCTAAAAGATTCAAGCCATTGCCAAAAAGCATTTAGCATTTCCACACAGTTATTGTTCCCAGAGGTCATTGCTGTTTTTGTTTCATTGTTACTCTTTTAGACCTTTTCTCTGTTTACAGAAGTGTGTGTGTGTGTGTGTGTAGCTTTGTTGTTTACATAAATGGCAGTATTTTATTGCTTTATTGCATATGAAATTTGTAAAATTTTTTACTGTTAAAATATATACACATTTGGAAACTTCCCTCTGACTTTTGTGTTTTTATTAAAGTGTGCTGCGTGTGTTCTCCTTACATTTTTAACTTGGGCAGAGAGATTTCTCTTGCTTTTCATAGAATGGGAAGTTCACAACTAAGTTACATTGTGCTTGGAGTTTGAACCTCAAGATTTGTATTCATTGTATACTGCATTGAGGATATTTAAAAACATTTATGAAGCTTGTCTAGTCCTCAGTGTAGTCCTTTTTGTTTTTTTGTTTTTTTTCCCCGTTACTGTAAAATGGATGGAATGAATGGGAGAAGTATAACTAGCAAGAACAGAACTTTGACCTAGTAACTCATCGCACATCTCAGTTCTTTTCCTGGATTTTTTTTCAGTTTTCTGTTCACATAATTAATGTGAAATTTTTACGGAATCAGACAGATGGCTTTTTTAAAAAACTTTTTTCATGATGGCTATTAGAAACCCAAAAAAATGACCATAAAAAACACCTCAAATCAGTTGATTTTTGCATTTCTTAAGCTTTTGACAAATTATACTTATGTAGATGACTTCTAAGAAATACTATATATGATGCAGAACTTGGATAAGATATAAGAAAAGAAAAAATCGATCTCTCATGAACATAAAAATAAAAGTCATTAAAATATTAGCAAATTGAAATCAACGGTGTAAAAAAGGATAATAATAAAATATATCATGACTAAAAGAGTATATTCTAATAGGTAAGTTCGGTTTAACACTAGAAAGTGAGTATAATTCACCCATGAACAGAATAAAAGAGGAAAACTATATGATCATCTCAGTGATCAGAGAAAACATGTTGGACAAAATTTAACACCCTCTCCCAACACAAAAACTAGGAATATAAACTTCTCAGTTTGATAAAGAGCATGTGCAAAAACATCTACACTTAACAGCATACTTAATGATGAAATATTAAAGCAAGTATGTCTGTTTTCACCATTTCTGTTCATTGTTCTGTAGGTCCTAGCAGTCAGTTAGAAAAAGGCCTAAAGATTGGAACACAAGATTTTAAGACAGGCATTATTCACAAATGACATGATTGTTTACATAGAAAACTTTATACACTCTACAAAAAAAAAAAAACAGAACTAGTAAGTAAATTTAGCAAAGGGCATGCTAGTGATCCGATTGGAAACGTTAATTTTAAAAATAACAATTTTGCCCAGCCAATGTGGATTGAGCATAGTCCCATTGACAGAGGTCCCGGTTAGATTCCTGGTCAGGGCATATGCCCGGGGTTTCAGGCTCAGTCCCCAGCAGGGGGCGTGCAGAAGACAGCCCATCCATGTTTCTCTCTCACATGGATGTTTCTATTTCTCCCTTCCTCTCTCTAAAAAATCAATACAAACATTTTTTAAATAATATTTTAGTAGCAGCAAAACTCATCAAATACCTAGGAACAAATGTCCAGAAAGATGTGTAAGACATCTACATTGAAATCTGCTGAGATATTTTTTAAAACCTAAATAAAAAGGAGAAACAGCATGTTCACGAATTGGAAAACTCAAATTTTGGTTTAGTCTCTCTAAACTGGTTTATGGTTATACAGTCCCTATCACAGTTCCATCAGGCTTTTAACAAATAGACTGGCTAAAATATATTAAAAGGAAAATTTATGTGGAAATGCAAAGACCTGAAAATAGCCAAACTAATCTTAAGCAGGAAGATCAGTTGGAAGACTTGTTCTGATTTCAAGACTTACTGTATAGCTACAGTAATCAAGTCAATGCTAAAAGGATAAGAATAGATTAATAGCCCTGGCCGGTTTGGCTCAGCTGTTAGAGCGTCGGCCTGCGGTCCTGAGAGACCCGGGTTCGGTTCCCGCTAAGGGCGTGTACCTCGGTTGCAGTTTGTCCCCGGCCCTGGTCGGTTGTGCGGGTGGCAGCCACTCGATGTGTCCCTTTCACATCGATGTTTCTCTCTCTCTCTCTCTGTTCCTCTCTCTCCCTCCCACTCTACCTGAACAAAAAATGGAAAAATGTCCTCGGGTGAGGATAAAAAAAAAAAAAAAAAAAGAATAGATTAATATATCAATGGAACAGAATCAAGAGTCCAGAAATACACCTACACACAATCAATTTTTGACCAAGGTACTAAGTCAATTCAGTGTGAAAGTCTTTATAGCTATATTAGTGGAACAACTGTATATCTGTATGAAATAAAATGAGCCTACACTCTTATACATAAATATGCCCCCACGCCCCCAAAATTTGAAATGGATCATAGATCTAAATGTAAAACTCAGAATAAAAGCTTGTAGGGAAAAAAATATCTTTGACCGTGGAGTAGGGAAAGATTTCTTGGCTAAGACACAGAAAGCACTAACCAAGAAAGATAAAAAGATAAGTTGAACTTGATCAGAATTTCCAGTTTACACAAAAGTATTCATATTAGAATACTTAAAAGTATTCATATTCATATTAGGTCCTCTGAGAAGTACACATTAAACCCACAATGATACACCGTTTCACATCCACTAGGATGACTGAAAAAGACCAACATCAAACGCTGCTGAGAATGAGAAGCCATTGGAACATTCTTAAGTTGCTGATGGAAAAGTAAAATGGAACCACTTGGAGAAGTGTTCATCAGCTTCTTCTTAAAGTGAAACACTATACAACTCAGCAAGTCCACTCCTAGGTATTTACCCAAGGAAGTAAAAATGTGTTCACACACACAAAAAAAACTTGCACAAGAGTATTAATAGGAGCCTGAGTAATAGCCCAAAACTGGAAACAGAGTGGATAAGCTGGTATATTCATACAATGGAAAACTACTCAGCATTAGAAATGAACTAATGCATGCAAAACAATAAGAAAAACGACGTTAAGAGAAAGAAGTTAGAAAAGAATACATACTTTATGATTCAATGTATATTAAATATAAGAACAGATCATTAAAATGATGGAGAAATGAAAAGAAGCAATATGTGGTAGTGATGGAAATGCTCTGTCTTGATTTGCATGGTGGGTACATGGGTGTGTTCAGTTATTAAAAACTCATTGAACAGAAAACCTAAGACCTATGTATTTAACTGTACTGTAATTGTGCATCAATTTTTTTTTTAAATACCGTATAGGTCAGACAAGTGTCTGGACTAGAGAGCTATCTGACAGTGTTACCAATTGTCTGAGCTACACCGAAGACCATACTAATTGCGCTTCCTGATACTGTTTCCAAAGGGCATCCGTGGATGTTAACTGAGAAAAACTGATGGGGATATTTTTGTTCTTTGTATACACAGTCCCTTAGACCATGTGATGGGTTAGTGGTTCTTAACCCATTTTCTACACAAACAAACCTACACTTCACAATTTTCCACCAAGAATCAGAATCACTGCCCTGCAGTGTTTCATGTTCAGGATTCAGGGAGTCAGTATAATCTAACCAGAAGTGTCCCAGGGAAATTCTATAAGACAGTCATAAACACTAATTTTTGTTGATAATATCTTCTTAAACATTAAGTCTCATGGAGTTAGTCCAGAGAATTGTGAATTAATGTTCGTTAACACAAAATCTACAGGCTTTTTATTAAATGTCAAAAGAACATTGAGGATGACCATTTGAACATTTTCATGTATATGGTTGTGTGACAGAATTAAATGCCTGGAGACCCACAGTTCCCAAACCGTGAGCTGAGATACTCGGGGACAAGATGTAAACTCACAGCATCATGGGCCATTTTAAATTCTTGAGGGAGACAGCAGTACTTCTGTCAGAAACCACTGGAAGTTATAGCTAAGGTCGCTCAGATTTCAGCAATAGACCGTTACGGTACTCACTCCACGTGGGAGAGGGAACGAGGGGCAGTGCCGTCCGGCTCCAGCTCTGACAAACTGCACAGTGGCTGACGCGCGTCTATCTCCATTAGTGATTGTTTTAAGGATGCAATTTTTAAAAACGTGTTTTATTAAAAATACTTGGACCTAGATAATTAATAAATGAAATGGCACTCTTTCTTTGGGCCGGGGGGGGGGGGGGGCACCCTTTAAAAATTCCTGTAAAACTAAAGGATTTGTGAAGTGAGAACGTTCAAACCACTGATAGTTCATTGAAAAATGCAGAACATTTCTAGACACATTTGAGGTTCTCAAGGCTAAAAGAATACATAGAAAAACCACTTTCCTTATGCTCCAATTTTCAGGAACACATGTAGAATGTTTAGGTCATAAAAGGCTGTTAAAGATAACTAAATTTCACAAACATCTTGCTGGTAGGGTAACCAGTCGCCCTGGTTTGCCAGGAATAGGATTTCCCAAGATGCAGCACTTTCAGTGTTGAAATTGGGAAGTCTCTGGAAAACTTAGAGGACACTCTATTGCCTTCATTGAAATCAGTAATGGCATTTTGGTTATCTGCCTAATTTAGAGCAAAATTACCTGCCTTGCATTTCATCTCCGTTCTGCTGTTTCTATAGGAGGCAGGATGTTAAGTATGGTGGTCCTCAAAACTAGCTGTACATTAAAATCCCTCTGGGAGCTTCTTAAAACACTAACATCCATCCCCACCTTTCCATCACATTCCGATACAGTCTGGGGATGTTTTCTTACATTGATTTTAATGGAGTTCTGACCCAGACCCTTCTGAGTCTTCAGCTGTGCCTTGCCACCTACCTCTTTGCCACTTCAGACAAACTGCTCACCTCTCTGAAGCTATCTCATAAAACAAAGTAAAAGCATCTATCTCACAAGTTCTTTGTGAATATTAGGAGACATGAAATGCCTTGAACAGTGTCTGGAACATAGTAGCTCTTCTAATGGGGCATAGACTAGCCTATCCCTGAAAACCGAAAATTTCAAGGCATCATTTTTCTAGTTCTAATAGGAAAAACATGACTTTGAACTCTGACTTATACAAAAGGTTCAGAGGATTCTTTCTTTTTGGCTAATAACTGTCCTACCACGACACTAAAGGAACG